GACAGCGAAGCAAGCAAAATTAGACAGTATGCGATGACATTACAATTTAACTTCAACGTTTTAGCTTTTTCATGTTCCTTTACATGTCACTACGTTTAAATAGGTTGACTTGGGACGTTTTTTTCGTGGTTTTTGTATTAGACCCGTCGTCCATTTATTTGTAAGTCAATGCTCTGCAGTATTATTTATTAATAAAAGTAATGACATGCATGTGCATAGCCTAGCAGCGTAGTAGGACACCGCGAGTAGTGCATCTCCCGCGTATTCGGCACGTCAATGCCTACACGTTTCTCGGAGCACAGGGTTGTCACATCGTTATTTTAGTTGTAGGTACCTACAGGTTGTAATAGTGTTGTAAAAAACTCAAATCTGGGAGTCTATTACTTAGAGGACGGAAAAAAATAAAGGGAGCTGCGCCATCTACGGGATAAACGTGTCTACCTAAACAAAAATTGTAAATTATAGTAGTTGTAAAACAAGTGTTGTACCGTAATTATCGATAAGTTAATATCGACATGCAAATGGATATTAGAAAGAAACGTTTTAAAGGTTTCCAAGTAGTGTAAGCTGTTTTGTATTTATGCATTGGTATAGAATTAATATCTGTCATTTTTATTTGGGTGAATCTTTTAATTTTTGAAGTATAAATAAAATTACTTATAATGGTAGTAATATTATCGATAATCATAAAATGAGGTATAATATTAATAATGCTTTATTTGCTTGAAACATGGTTTAACAGAAGAAAGAGACAGTGTCAATACAAACATGTTTCGCATATTAAATAACCATATATTAAACCTCTATGGAAGCTGCACGTTGCTGAGGATACCAGGAAGGTGTTTGGTGCGCATTCTTCTCTGAGAAGATTCAAAAACTTGTTGATGATTAAAACTAAAATTACTTTGGTCCAGAGCATTCTCCATCTTATACTAGACTACGCAGATGTTTGCTACCTGGATTTGTCAGTCACCCTGCTCAATAAATTGGAACGACTCCAAAATATATATGTAAGGTTCTTCTTCGGACTTAGTAAATTTGACCATGTCTCTCAATATCGTTTTAAGATATAAAAAATAACAGGGGAGTGAGTTAATAAATATGTATTATAGTGTAACTAAAATTTTGACAGAGAATAGTTTTTGACGGACAAGGTAATTACATTTAATATTGTTGATTTGATCAATCACCTTCAAACCGCACTGTCAAAAGACCAAAATGAAGGTCAGCTCACGCAATAACCTCCTTCGACGTGTAACATCCACCAATTGGAGAGCAGCGCCAGATGTCCTACGGGCTACGGGTTTAGCACTGTGTTTCTCTGCTGGTGAATACGCGTGGCCGGTGTGGCGCTTAATGAAACAGTACGCTTTATCACGGGCTGTCTCAAGCCAACTCCCCTTAATATGGAATATCCTCTAGCTGGTATTGCACCACCATACGTGCGTCGGGATGTAGTATGCTCCGCGGAGAAGTACAAACAAGAGAGTGACTTGCTGTTGTGCCCCTAGTGTCCTAATACCTGTACGAGGGAAGATCTCTACGCGGCCACGGACAGCGCAGTCAAAGTAGCAACATACTATTCAGGGTCAATATAAAAGAAATAAAAAAAGTATCGACACGATAAGAAGAAGTTGATTTGAATAAATTTGGACAGAGTATTTACAAAAGGGTTGTGATGTTGGGTCAGAAGAAATGGTAGGTAGTCCTTCATTAGTTTTTAGTTTACTTATAGCTCATTTCGCATGGCATGGGTATGGTGACGTATGAGATTCGAAGTTACTAGAGATGTTGTGATGTAAAATCGATATCTTATCGAGATAATTTGTAACGAAGAGTGACTCGATTTACAGATAATAATTTAAAAATAAATAGTGAACAAAATGAAAACGATTCAATTATTTACTAAAAAAACTACACAACAAATAAAAAATCGACAACAACCGAACAAAAAGGCGGCAACAGCATAGAATCAACAGCAACGATACGAAATTTGAACGATTACTACAAAAATTATCACGCAAAGCCATTGACTTACAATTATATGGACTTCGGTTCCGCGCTAAAAAGTGTCCGAACTTATAGGGCGTTAAAATCGTATACAGAGCGTCATTCACGCTTTAGTCTTCGTTTGTTCGACTGACAGCGAAGCAAGCAAAATTAGACAGTACTGCGATGACATTACAATTTAAATTCAACGTTTTAGCTTTTTCATATTCCTTTACATGTCAATACGTTTAAATAGGTTGACTTGGGACATTTTTTTCGTGGTTTTTGTATTGGACCCGTCGTCCATTTATTTGTAAATCAATACGCAAAGCTCAAAACAAAATCATCCGCATACAAGGTGTATGCACTCACATTGACGCGAGATACATAATAGGTGGTTCGATTTATCGGTACTAGTAGGTATATATATATATTCCGTTTTACGCGTCAACTAATTTGGATAATTTTATTTTTATCACATTCATTTAATTTTCTATCTACTTAATATTAAAATTTATGCGTAAAATTACAACTGCAACAAATATTGTTTTTCGTACATTGTAACAAATTTACTATTTATTTTTGTAACCTGGTTGAGAGATTTACCATTAACACGGCAGTTATACTACAGCTTAAGACACCACACCGCAACACAGCTCAGTAGGTACTTACCAGACTCGAGTTCGACTTTTTACATAAACAGACTCGAGCACTAATGTCGATCTTGAGTCTGTTCGGAAATTCAATAAGCTCGATAGATCGAGCAGTCGAGCCTCTGTCTTTATGAGTCGAGTCTTGTGAATTGGAGTCAAGCATTAAAATATTCTGGACTCGAGTTTTTTACAACACTAAGGTGGAGCGCGCGTGTCACGACAAACTATAATATATATGTATATATATATATATATATATATATAATATAAACTAAATATTGTATGAAAATGAGTAGTGGCGCGACTGTTTGAAGGCGCCTGTGTCTTTATTTTTAACCGACTTCAAAAAAGGAGGAGGTTCTCAATTCGACTGTATGTTTTTTTTTTTGTATGTATGTTACGCGATAACTTTTGTGACGATTTGTGAACCGATTTTCATGATTCTTTTTTTGTTGAAAAGGGGGTACTTCCATAGTGGTCCCATTTCATTTTGAAGAAAATCATCCACCTCGAAGGATGGCTGCGAGCAATACTTTAATGCTTGATTTTGCTATTTCTTCAATTCAAGGCGTTTTTCTCTCGATGTTCTTTGAGTAGTTTCGTAGTGAGAACCTATTTTTATTGTCTCCAGTGTCAAGTCCTGTATAGACGTAATTCAACGTACTTTTGAGGTCTGTTGTACTTGTGAGGTTTTTTAGTACTGAGATTATATAGAGCCAATATTCGCACTAAGAACGAGAGAAGATCGACTTTGATGTAAATCAGTCAGATGCTTCAACAAGATTCTTTTGTGATAATAGATATGAGAATAAATAAACACACTTTATAGTATTTTCTATTTGTCATGAGTTTTCATTTGTTTTAGCTCAGTGATGTCTGATAATACTGTCCTACAAATAACCAAAGGCTTGACCGAAAGACGAAGAAACCTTTTCCCGAGGAGACCACTACTAACAGATGAAACTCACCCCGTTACAATGCATGAAGTCGTAAGTTTTAATAGATAGAAATTTTAATAGATCGTTAAATTATGGCAATTAAACGTAATTTACTTTACTGTGCTTAATCGGTTCTGTGGCTTGAGTGGAGCAGCAGAGACGCTGGCTTTGTTTCAGAATTTATTTTTATACAAACCAAATTTGCAAAATGTATATCGTATACTATACGTGTTTTAGAGTGTGAATATAAAAAAAAAATTGGTATATGTAAAGTTTAGTCGTGCGCATCATGCGCATCGTGCGCAATGAAATGTTAAACGTTTACACATTTTTTAATATAGATATTTCAAAAACAAGTATCTTGCGTTTTTATCGAGTTCTTATCTTAGGTTTTCGCGATTGTTACACATAGGAAATGAAACTATTTTGCCGGATTTAAATCGCGTGTATTTGTTTTTCAAACAAACCAAACGTTTCGGGCCCTTTACAGGCCCTATGGTCACGATTGAATAACAAATACACGTAGTTTTATTTCCTACCTTTTGCTTTGTTCAAAAATATGTAATCATGACACCGTTTAAAAAAAAAATACATTTCAGAGGAAAGTAAACAAAGCACAATCAGTGAAAAGTAAATACTCCTGGTGTTTTTTATATATGTATCCATATCATTTTAGTAAATATGTATACAGTACATTTTCGTTTAATCCTAATTATGTAATCACTTTTAAAACTTCGGAGTTATATATCGTTTTCAAAAATATCAATGCACCAAGTTGCAGTGTAATATAAAATGGACGTAGTTAAAAAAGAAGTTTAAGTTAAGTTTTTATTTTCAAAACTTAACTTAACTGCAGAGATATTTATTTATGTTTATATGTATGTTGGATTTTTCTTACTGATCGAAGGGGTTAGACTTTAGGAACCGTTTGGTACATATAATTACTTTTTTTGATAAGTTTGTGGATTGGATCCAGTTTGCTTAACTACGTCTAAATATGTTCGATGTCTACTGTACTGTAAATACTTATCTCACTTGCGCTGCACCACAAAGAAAATTATTGTCGGTTAAGAATTACTTTGGTATGAAGGGATCGTCCCATACAATGAAATAATCCCTTCATGAAACTGAGTCGATCGGCACTATAAAAAAATTTCAACAATTTTATTCATCTTATGGACAACTCACGTGTGACCAAACAATTGGCTATGCCAAAATTGTTTTCGCAAAAAAAGACAATGGTTTCTAAGACAGTTTCCTTGTGTCTTCTATGGTTTCGGATTTCCTCATTCTGTCCCATTTTAAAAAAATGGGAATGGAAACTCGACAAATAGGCGGGATAGCTGACAGCAGACTTGTTATTCACAAATTTAGAGGAGTTTTCACAACTTGAAATGTGAAGAAAAATTTTGGCTGTTGACCGTTAGAGTACATGTTCATTTGGCATTTTGATGCATCGATGATGTGGCAAACCCTAGAGCTCACGATTTATAGGTCTAATGGACAATCGAGTAAACGCATTCGATCTCAAGTAGGGAACCCAATTGTATGCTGTATTAATGATTTTTTAAAACGGTAATGTAATATGTTCGTTGATAAATATGTTCGTTTCAGATGTCTGTATTTTTCTTTTTATTGCTGCACATCCTTTTGTTCACCCGGGCCTCACACAATAAGTTCGTAGGTTGGGCACGTTCTGACCAAAGCACAGGCCATTCATACCCCATGTAAGTTATTTAGAACTTTTTGACCATATCGCTTCTTTTCAAAACAAGTGACTCGCACCAAAATAGTTCATGTTCATCATATATAATTGTTGCATTTAGATTTAGTAGTTATGGAGCTCCATGTGAAAGAGTTCGTCCAGGGAAGTACTGCCAACTTACCAATTTCTGTCACCAAGCAGCAGTAATGTGTGTAGTACCTACATCGTTTCCGTTTTGAAAGGTAAGGGTGCTGGTGAAATTACTGGCACATGGGACTTGTCAATTTATCCGCTCACGCGATGCGCTCCTCCTACCGCAAAATGGCGGCAATTTTGTTTCGCAAAATAGAAAAGGATTCAGTTTAAATACAAGTTTTTATAAATAAAAATTTTATTATTCTGCATTGCTAAATAAATACCCTCCGTAATACCAACAAAAACATCTCAACTAAAATGCAGTAATACACCGCCAATCCTGCACTTAAAGAGCACTAATGAAATTTTTGGTGTACTTGGATAAATATGATAATATTCAGTTTGAGTGGTTCTAACGTTTACCATGAAATTACTCCTTAAAGTATAGTTTATAAACATTTATATTCAGGGTAAACTTAAAAAACGCTACTAACGGTATGTTTTCAATAAATAAACACCGAAATCACTAGCCCAAACAATAACACACACGATTGTCGTGACGTATTTTTGAAGTTGTTTATTTTTTTTAAATGACAGACCCAGGCATTAAAAACTTTATGGTTTGCTAGAGTAGTTACCGAAATAGCAATTAATATTAGTTCTTTTACCTGTTATAACTTCGATATCCGATAAATCGGTATAAAATCATCACCGGCACCTCTAAGTGTGGTATGCGTCTACGGCTGCATGTATCGCGTGAGCGGTTATGTTTCAAAATGATGGGCGCAGTGGCAGTACCCCTCAGATAATAACAGTAATAACGCACACTTCCAACATAGCCCCGCACATGGGAAACCCTGTGTCGCGGGTACCATGGACACATACATAGAAAACCACAAATTACACCCAAACTCACGACAGAAATAAATATCGACCATATAAATATTTCTCCCGGCCACGAAATCGAATCTGGGACCTCTGCTTGGCAGTCCGACAAGGTAACCGTTCGGCCTCGGAAAAAGTTCAGATTTTTGTGATTTAAGTAGAGTCACCGGAGGAGAAGCGGCAAAAGCTGTTTTGGCAGATCAAACGGTTTAAGTATTTACTATTTAATAACCCTCTTACAAAAAATAAACGATACACCTAAGGATATTGTCTAAAGAATGTGCAAATTTGATATACGATAGGATTTAGTCTACCCGTTATATAAAATCCCGAAAATATGCCAAAATAAAAATCTAAAGAGAATTATTTACTAATAAAATGTGTAACTTTGACCATAATTCCTATATGGAGATCTCTTTGAGTAGGTAACTACAGAGTACCTGCAAAATTTTGGTTTTCAACAGAAGCCCTGTATTTGTTAAATTTACTTTTGTCTCAAAATTTCAAAATTACCCAGCGATTTTTAAGCCCCGTCAGTCGCCATCGGGCGCTTGTCGACGTCGGATCTGTGTGAAATTTTCTCCATCTGTTCTTATTCATATTAATTGTGACCGCGCGGGTTGCGAGATGCGAGGTACGGTCCTCCACGCCTCGCCTTCTAAAATGTAAGCTTCTTGTGAAAGAGTCCAGGGAAGTATTGCCACCACATCTATTTCTGCCACCAAGCAGTAATGTGAGCATTACCACGTTCCGGTTTTGAAGGGTAAGGATGCTGGTCAAGTTAGAGGCACATGGAACTTGTCAACTTCACATCTTCTGTGCAAGCAAGCAGAGTCATCCCTCTTTTTAAATCCGGTAGTAAATATGACTCCACCAATTTCAGACCTATTTCTATACTACCGACTCTTGGTAAAATTTTTGAAAAAAAAAAAATCCTTCATCAGCTGTGTGCATATTTTTGCAATTACAACATAATGGCTCATTAACAATTTGGTTTCACTCGGGATCGCTCAACAATCGATGCTGGTGTTGAGCTGATGAAACATAGATTTGATGCATGGGAAGACTCGTAGGATTCTACAGGAGTTTTATATGACCTTTTCAAAGCATTTGATTGTATGCAACATGATACACTGGTCAGGAAACTTCGCCGTTATGGTGTAACGGGCCATGACCTCGATCTTCATAAATCGTATTTGAGTAATAGGGTCCAGAGAGGTGATGTCAATGGTATGTCATCAGGGTCTACAGTCAGCATAGGCGTCCCTTAAGGTGTAATTTTAGTTCCATTCCTGTTCTTAGTATATATATTAATGACTTACCTAGCCTTGTGAAGGGTATGCAATATGAGATAGTACTGTTTGCTGATGATACTTCCTTATTATTTAAAGTTTAAAGGCAGTAATGTATCTTTTACGAAGTTCAAAACTATTCTTAATAAAAATTGTGTGCTAAAGCTTATTAGACTATTTCTGCTTACTTGGATGATATAAATTCTTAGGACTGAACTATCAATTAATTATGTTAAAACATAAATGTAAACAAATATTGTATACCTATAATAAATAAAAATTGTAAATATTGCATATAATACTCTTATAATTTGGTTGACAAATAGCGTTAACTTCGCCTACTTATACAAGTGTTCCTTAAGATATTCAAGTGATTACCTGTGACTGACCATCCCACGTTAATGTAACTGAGGCAGCCGTAATATAGATTTTTCATGTGAAGATACTGTTTCACGTTTTTGTTTGTTTGACTGTAACGTATAATGTTTTACGTATAACGTTTGAAGAATCTTCCGTTTTCAGAATCTGCCATTCACCGTATATTTTTTGCAGGTTTGAAGACGCAAGTTTATTTACTGTTTTTGCAATATTTCTGCATATAATGCCAAAAGGCTTCATGTTTTTGAGATACGTAAAGGCACATAGTAAGTATCATTCAAGTTTAAGATCTACCGCCAACAATATTACACGTAAATATATCTGGATCCATAATACAGTTTTAAGCCCAATTGCAACAAATCCCACCCTACCCTATCCAACATGCACTGGGTCTATTATAAAGAGTTACGCGTACACAATTGCAACTGATTCTTTCCTGCCCTGTCCATTATAATCTGGGTCTACTATAAAGAGTTAACGCGTACACAGTTGTAATTTTTCATTTTGTTTCATTTCTGCATAAATTAGTTTTCCTTTCTAAAATATACAGGGAAGAACATAGGAAAAACAGGTAGGCTTTTGTCCATTTGTGGGATAGAGGAACCTATAAAATGATACAAAAAAAAACATTTCATGATCTGTTAATTTTATTACAGAGAGACGTTTATTGCCACCGCGAAAGCCGGAATCTGGGGTACTCTATTGGAAATTCGTAGACAGTAATACGCCATACGCTTTCTTATTTTTAATGGGTAAGTGACCAAGTTCAACAGCCTCAGCAATATCTTACCACATAGTCATAAACACGATACGAACAACTTAGCAGCAGTAGATCTCTTTGTGCAAGAGTTAGACGAGGGAAATATTGCCACCATATTTATTTTTGCCACCAACAGCAATGCATTTGAAATTTTTTGAAAAATTTGAAAGGTAATTAAGCTAGAGGTACATGGAACTTATCAACTTCATAAATCACTGTGACGGGTGCACTGCGCTTAGGTCTTTCCGTTTTAAAGCTCTGAGTGCCACTGTTACGGGTAGGTGTAAAGGATTGTCACGCACTGTTGGCGCCGCTTAATGTGCTGTAGATTATAATGTAGTTTACGCAGACTCGACACATCTTGCTTAGCGAGTTGTTCAAAATTGAAAAGGAAAAAGAATTAGTGGAAATAAATCCGTTTTTGGTGATCTTTTAAATGAAATTATTCCACTAGTTTGTTATAATTATTAATACAAAGATCGAACACTCAGAAAAAATTCCTTCGACATCTCTCGCCAGGACTGGTAGCTGTAAAGGTACTAACTGGGTGATAAATCTGTAATAGATTTCTCATAGATGGCGCTACGACTAAAAAGTCGTTGAAAGACCAAGTACAAAGACACGACGCAAGCACATAGAAAAATTCGTGAGGTCCGTTAGTTCGTTCCGTGGCTTAGTTGGTATAGCGTCTGGCACGGTATGCAAGAAGACGTCGGTTCGAATCCGACCGGATCGAAGGAATTTTTTCTGAGTGTTCGATCTTTGTATTAATAATTATAACAAACTAGTGGAGTAATTTCACAAAAAATAATTAAATATCAATTCAATAAAAATTTAATTGATCTTTTAAATGTTTATCGCACAAGAGACTGCGTAAACGGGTCAAAATTTGAAAAAGAGACGTGCTTGCTTCGGCTATTAAGTAAAGAGTGACGACGGAACGAAACAAAATGAGAATGACGAGGCAAAGTAATAAAAGAATGATGATGAGAATGAAATCACAAATTTAGAAAACTGAAATAGTGCAGCGCCAACAACTGACCTGTATGCGTCTTCGTAGATTCTTCGTATATTTATTGTAATAAGGATAATATCTCTGACAATGGGGGCTGTTCTATTCGGTGGTATAGGAGGAACAGCAAAACATCTAATTACAAAACAAACGAAATCACATTTCATCGATAATCAAATATTAAATACGTAATTTTGCAATTTACGTCCTTTGTAGCAAAACCTTAAGTTAAACTTGTCGATTTGAAGTGAAATAATTGACGACACCCGTCAATTGTTTCGAATTTGAGCTGGCCAATCGGAGCGCAGTTTGATTTGGCAGCATAGTTTACAAATAAAATGACATTTCGTCTCTATTTCTGGTTATATACTCAATGATTTTATGGTATACATTTGTTTTATTTTGAACAGTTTGTGATAATATTGCATTATTATGTTTTATAACGTACCTTAACCTATGTTATGGTGCACATCATAGGTTTCCAAAATTTTTGGCTTACTTCTTAAGTTCTTTAAGTAGTCACTTCAAATATCCGAAGGTCGAAGTTCCAACTCACCGCAAGCTTTAGTCCACGTGATATTATTCGCCAAGTTAGTCTCCTATAATGTAGGTATCAGTGGGCTGATGCGCAACAACTTTACAGTTACAACAACGTAACGTTACGTTACAGTTTATTTGGGAAGTTTAATAATTGTGTTTTCAATGAATTACCATCTTTTTCATTACATGAATACACCGTGCACATATGTATTCTGAAACTGCAGTCTAGTATGCTTTAACGTCAACGTCATCCAAATATCCTCTGCAGAGCTGCGCCATTGACAGTTTTCTACCACGGATACGTCTCTTCGCACCACGATGAGTACGCCACCACCTAGAGATTGCGACGTTTGCCCGTAATTGCGGTCACGCCTTCAGACTAGATACTGATCGTCGAACAGCTCACTGTTGTGTACACCGTCTAATAACCAAGTCTCAGTTATAAGCACAACGTCATACCTATGAACTTAGGCAAAATGAAAAAATTTGAACGCCCACAACGTCAAAAACAATTGAAAACACGTATTGTTTATATTGACATAGACACAAAAAATTATATATGTGTAATGTAGTTTATATAGATAATTAAGGTTTATTTTTCAAATGGGGTAGCATCCTCTGGACCTCATCAACGGCCCCCAATTGTCTCCGAGGCCTCTACTACCCCTACGACTCTTCACCACCCATAGGGAGGCGGTAGGGATCACTTTGGGAAACTATGGTGTATACCAACTACCACATGATTACAAGACGTGTCAAACTCGATAAACTTTGATCGAGGGCTTTAATATTTATTATATTTTCAGGTGCAGGTGAAGCCCTTTTACATACTGTGGTACATCATGACGATGTGAAGGAGTCTGTAATAAATGCATTTAACTGGCTTACATCCGATATTACACTGGGCTTATCTACGTTTGCCATGTGCCAGTTTGGTATTTTATTGTGCAATATGATGACAGGTACCGGTGCCGCCGTTGTTTACCTCCCGGCCATTTTGCTTGCGGTAAGAGGTTATGCTGTACATTCAAACACTAAAAAAAAAAACAAATGACAATGAAGCGTGAAAGACGTAGAGGGCTGGTGCATGTCGGGTCTAATTCCGTGTATTTATTTACACGGAATTAGACCGTGTATTTAATTACACGGAATTAGACTAGAGATTAAATGGAATTTCCAGATACCAGATATCCGGCAAGCAACTAGGCCGGATAGCCGGATATCGGACCCACTGTCGCAAACATGTCGCGACCGGTTTACAGCGTGCGATTCACGCGTTATTTATTGATTCGTGAATGATTGCACTTTCCCATTGACGATTTGAGTTGTTGTGATCGTTTGGTTTTTGTTAAAATGACAAATTTAGTCGATAATACAAACAAATACACATATGAAAAATGTCAACTGTGAAAAAATAGTCAATTTAGCAATATTTTAATATCAGTGTTGTTTGTCGTACTGAATGCAAATTTCTTATGGTGGAGAAGGAAAAAGCAGCTACATCATTCTTTGTCTATTACAATTTCTAGTTGTTATTTTACATGTAAAAAGCCTAGCGCTTGATACGCTTGTTACTCTTTAGTTTGAATTGGATTTCATTAATTTGTTGTTTGTGTTATAAGTACTCTAAAACGTTTTACCATACCAGTTTTCGGCGAAAAAGTTTTTACTAAATCTACTTCTACGTTTCATGATTATCGGTACACATGGATCATACGAAAAAATAATAATTTTATATCGATTATTATTTAAAGACAGATCGAATAGATCGTGATCCTTGCAGCTGGCGATGGCGGTTTGGTAATATCAAGCAGTATCTAAATTTAACAAAGTTTGCAAGAGTTTATAGCAAAAAACTGCCCTCTGAAGCTGGTCTCGTTTATGATGACAAACGGAATCGACTTTTACCATTTAATGCCGAAATACTGGTCTTCATCCACCATAATTTGCCTTTATTGAATTTTGAGTAGAGAATAATGAACAGATTGTCAACGTTGCTATTTATTTAGCCTATTACTATCCTCTTTAACCAATAAATTAATTTATTTAGTGCACTGATAGTGAATTTTTCTGTTTTATATGTCGTGTATGGAGTGTGGAGTTGCACACGGGTTTTCATGGTGTAGCCATCATAAGAAGCGATTTTGAATACAAGAAACATCTTTTGTCGTAACAGACATGTCTCGCAACATAGATATTTCCTTAATCGATGGTTTTGATACCTGTAAATCCTTAGAACGTATAGGATTGGAGGCGTCATCGACAGGCAATCCCCTCTGTCAAGGTACAAGGACAAAACAACTATCGCACAATAAACACTACTTTCAAATCGGTGTTTTTTCAAAGTCAAAGTCAAAGATTATTTATTCCATAGGTAAAATAAATTTACACTTGAAAACGTCACATTTAAGCTACTGCTCCTTCACTACGCTGACCTCCCTGAGAAGAACGAGCAAGAATCTCTAGGGATTGCTCCTTTCAAATAAACTTAAATGCTATGTATAATTATTGTCAACAATATTTGACGAAAATAAAAGGTTAATTTTGGTCGGCGACATAAACGTAGATTATTTAACCGACAACTCGGACAGGCGATGCCTAGACGACCTATTAAGTTGTTATAACACAAAAAATATTGTCGATTTTCCTACACGCGAATGTGACACTTGTAGCACTTCTTTGGACTGTGGGATAGTTTCGAGCGATGACTGTAATTACATAACCGTTTCTCCTTTAGATACGCCGATAAGCGACCACAACGCACAGCTATTCGTATTACCTGTTACGCAACACAAACATGTAAACAAATTTATACATCGACGTATCTTTGCAGAGGAGTCTATTAATTTATTTTATATGGACATTTATAATTATGATTGGAGTTTCATTCATGTGACTGATATTAATATTAATGAAAAATTTAGTTCATTGATAAGAATATTAACTTATTATATTAATATTCATTTTCCAGTTAAAAAAATATCTTTAAAGAGGAATACTATTCCATGGGTGAGTGAAGAACTTAACCACCACATTGCAATGTATAATAATTTCTGCTCAATGAAACACCAATTTCCACATGATAATGTTTTAAATAAATGTCTTCAACATCATTCAAATTTAATAAAATCTATGAGTTTGCGTGATCGTCGTCTATTTAATGATAATAAGATGATGTCTACTAAAAACTCGAGTAAGGTAATGTGGCAGATTGTGAACGATGAGGTTTCAACTAGGAATCACCAACAAAACGTTCGACTGACTCACAAGGGAGACATTGTGCCTGTAGACATGATACCTGACTACTTCAATGATTATTTTCTTACAATAACTTCAAAATTACATCTACACAATAATAAAGAAAAATCAATGTCATTTTTAAGAAAATGCGTGGGTGAATGCGATGTTCCTCAGTACAGCCTTCCAACTGTCACTCGTGACTCGTTGGAGGGGGTAGTAAGGAGTATGTGGCATACGTCAAAAACGCTGGACATATACGATATATCTATACATATATTAATGTCGGTGTGGCCAGTGATTGGAGACATACTCGTTATTTTAATAAATGAAATGTTTAGAGAAGGTATATATCCTGATATTTTAAAAAGTACTCGTGTATGTCCAGTGTTTAAGGGGAAGGGGGACGTGACCCATGTTGAAAGCCACAGACCGATAACCATAGTTCCGAATATATCAAAAATAATAGAATCTATTATATCAACAAGTATTATGGATCATTTCGAAATGAACGATTTGTTATCAGATAGACAATATGCTTATAGGAAAGGTAAATCCACCGTAGTTGCAGCACAAAATGTAGTAGATTCTATTATTACCAGTATAGATGATAAGTATAAAACTGCAGGCATTTTTTGTGACCTAACAAAGGCGTTCGATGTAATTGAAAATGATTTATTAATTCAAAAGCTAGCTGTGTATGGCGTCAACGGAGTCGCCCATAACCTATTAAAGTCTTTTTTATCAAACAGACGGCAAACGGTTCAGGTCAGTACAAACGGTACAACAACTAGGTCAGCGGCTGGTGACGTCACCATTGGCATCCCACAGGGATCTGCCCTAGGTAATACACTATTCCTGGCATTCATCAATGATCTGCCATACTTTATATCAGGGGGTCTTGTGGTTCTATTTGCGGACGATACAACCGTTATAGTGTGTGCTAAAACCTACAACGAGTTGGAAGAAAAATTAGCCTGCACGTATGAGCAGCTGTGTGAGTGGTTCTCTGCGAATGGACTTATTCTTAACGAATCGAAGTCAAACCTTATGTTGTTCTCAGGAAGAAATTCTATAACAAAGCCAATTATCACCTCCATTGTTCCATTATGTAACACCTGTAAATTCTTGGGTTTAACGCTAGACTCAAATTTGAACTGGAAGTCACATATACAAACTCTATGTCAAAAACTTGGAAGTGCTGCATACGCACTGAGGAAACTGCGTCCTCTTGTCTCCAATGTGGTATTGAGGCAGACGTATTATGCGTATTTTCATTCGTTGATGTCTTATGGCATCACACTGTGGGGTAATTCCACTGAGTCGATTAGGGTATTTATTCTTCAAAAACGTGCACTAAGAACAATAGTAGGCATAAAAAAGGGTCAGACCTGCAGAAACCTTTTTAAGAAATACAATATAATGACCATGTACTCACAATATATTTATGATATAATAGTTTATGCGCGTCAAAACTTGGCTACTTATGAGCGACGTACGGGCGGAGGCCGAGTGTTACGAAACGCGGGAACACTAAAATCCGTTGCCCACCGTACCGAACTTGCAACTAGAAATCCGCGGGTAATAGGTCCCCGATTCTACGAACATCTACCCACAGACCTGAAAAGTGTTAGAAACGATGCAACGTTTTGTACCCGACTAAAAAACCTTTTATTGGATATTGAATTGTACAGTGTCGATGAGTTTCTTTTGAAACAATTTTAATTTTATTTTATTCGACAAGCAGTAGTTATACTACTTTATTTTATATTCATTATTATTATTATAATTTTATTACTGACGATCATAGTTATCCCTTGACATTGTATTTCCAATTGTAATATTGTGACATTGATAACATGAAATAAACGATTCTATTCTATTCTATTCTATTCTATGGAATACACTTTGAATCAAATTTGTGTGGATTCTGGAGCCATGTCGTCTTTCCATACATCTTTATCTAACACGTAGTCTTCAATTTTGTAATATGATTTTTCGATCAAAATATTTTTAGTATAGTTTTTAAAGTTAGGATATGATAAACTTAATATATACTCCGGAATCTTATTGTAAAAACGTATACAGTTCCTCATAAAAGAGTTGTTTACCTTGGTTAAACGAAATCGTGGTACCATTAGTTTGGATTTAGCTCTAAGGTTAATATTATGGATATCTTATTTCTTATTGAAATTATGTATATTTTTACGGGCATATAAAATATTTGAGTAAATGTACTGTGATGCCACAGTCATGATACCAGTCTCCTTAAACTTTTCTCTGAGAGAAACCCGAGAGCCTAGACGGTACACAGAACGAATCGCTCGTTTTTACAATACAAATATGGTTTGAATATCTGCCGCTTTACCCCACATGAGAATCCCGTAGGACATTATACTATGGAAGTAACTAAAGTAAACTAGTCTAGCAGTACTAAAATCGGTAAGCTCACGTATTCTGCGGACTGCGTATGCAGCGGAGCTTAATCTGCTGGCCAGGGAAGATATATGTATGTGGAAACCATTGAAGTTTACTATCTAAGGTCATCATCGATTAGACGTGGGCTGGGGTTCCAACCTTATGTTGTGGATAGTCCCCGGATTCGCACGTAGTGTTTCGCTTCTGCATTTGTATGACGAGCGGCTAGGGAGTGGAATTCCCTGCCTGCAGACTTGTCCAACATGACAGGTCCAAGTTATACAGGGAACACCCCGAACGCTGTAACTTGGACCTTTTCAAGGCTACATCCTCGATCTCATTGTCACTTTCCATCAGGTGAGATGGAGATCAAATGCACACTTATTTTTTATACAAAAAGAATATTATTATTGTTGTTTAAATCATACTTCTCGTACTGATGCGTAAACGAGAAGGTACTTATCTATTTTTGTTTTCAATTATAGCAATCAGGACGTCGTCCATTGTACGCTTTGGCAGGTGGTTTATCTTGCGCGCTTGGGTTCATAAGTCCATTCAGGCATTCTACTACATATTTTACTAAGAAAATTGGAAAAGTGCCATTTAGAATGCTGGTAAGTCTTAACTAATTTGCTAATCTTATTTTTAGTTTGAATCTTTTATGGTCAATCGTTAAAAGACTCAGTACTTACTTACTGTATGTGGGTTATATTTTTTTGTATCTAATGGAGCAATAAATATTTTTGTCGTAACTCCACTTACGCCATTCTTCCATGAGAGGTGCGATTTCATTACACTAACAGTTTTTTACAAAGTTTAAAAAAGAAAATTGCTGTAGTGTTTTAGTTTTTTGCCTATAACGCATACATTGTTGATAGAGTTATTGGAGATGATGTGGGTTATATTGTTCTGTATTTAATGGAGAAATAAAAATTTTTGACATAATTTCACTTGTGCCATTCTTCCATTAGTGGTGCGATATATATAAACACTGTAAGGGTGTAATAAATCTAAATTAAACAAAATCTTTTTTTCGTTACTGAAGTCATCATTTCTTTTTCTTCTTTCTGTCCTTATCCCACGCTAGATAGCGTTATCATGAATTTAACTTCCACTGTCCCTTATCAGCCGTTATTTCCATAGTGAGTATGGACCTTTCTTATCCGGTAACCTATCACAAACTCGAATTTATTTTTCCCGAAAGAACTTTTGTTCGAATTTTCACTACCCCGAAAACCGAATTATAACGAAACCGTTGTTCTTTCTAGATATGTTGGATGTTTATCGCAAAGACACGATTAAGTTCGGTTAGATTAGGTTAAGTTAGGTTTAAAAGAAAAAAAAACATTTTCGCAAACGTTATTTCTGGAAAATGTAATTTCGGACTTCTGATAGGTAACCTTCTTATCCATGTCACCTTTCACACAATCCATCCATCTTTTCTTTGGTCTTCCTCTCCCCTAATATCCCTAAACATACCTAACACTCTTCTCGTCACATGACATTCTTCTCTCCACATGACATGTCCATATCACGCTAACCTCATCTTTTCCGTCACTCGTACCACTTTTAAACTTCCCCTTATCCTCTCACGCGATGCGGTCATCCTACCGCAAAATGGCGGCTATTTGGTTTCGCAAATTAGAAAAGGATTCAGTATAAATACAAGTTTTTATAAATAAAAATTATTATTCTGCATTGCTAAATAAATACCCTCCGTACTACAACAAAAACATCTCAAATAAAATGCAGTAATACACCGCAAATCCTGCACTTAAAAAGCACTAATGAAATTTTTGGTGTACTTGGGTAAATATGATAATATTCCGTTTGAGTGGTTCTAACGTTTACCATGAAATTACTCCTTAAAGTATAGTTTATAAACATTTATATTCAGGGTAAACTTAAAAAACGCTACTTATGGTAGGTTTTCAATAAATAAACACCGAAATCACCAGCCGAAACAATAACACACACGATGGTCGTGACGTATTTTTGGAGTTTTTTTTTTAAATGACAGACTCAGGCATTAAAAACTTTATGGTTTGCTAGAGTAGTTACCGAAATAGCAATTAGTATTAGTTCTTTTACCTGTTATAACTTCGATATCCGATAAATCGGTATAAAATCATCACTGGCACCTCTAGGTGTGGTATGCGTCTACGGCTGCATGTATCGCGTGAGCGGTTATGTACTCATTCCTTATCTTTTCTCGTCACTCCATACATCCATCTCAACATTCACATTTCTGCTGCATCCACAGTTCGTTCATCCTCCCCTTTTATCGTCCAACATTTACCACTTAATTAACAGATCTATGTTTTGTTTCAGTTATTCCACAACTTCTTGAGCACGGTTATAAACGCAGTTATGCTATGGTTGATGATAATATCACTTGGAGAATACTTGTTTCTACCATTTGGTGGGGGTGGGGGTGGCGGTGACGGTGGTGGTAACGGTAGTGATAGTTTTAATGGTAGTGATATTGTTAATGGTAGTGATAGTGTTAATGATAGTGGCAGTGATTCACTACCACCACCAACACCACCACCACCAGACTCGTAGGAAGTGTCTATACAAGCGCTTGTGTAACTTACCATTTGGTCACAACCATTTGGTCCTTCCTTGGTCCTGATGTATCATAAACGGATGGGCCACTCCTTCTTTTCTTTGTTCCTGATGTATCATAAACTGATATTCAAGCGCCACAGATAGCTTGATTTTCTTGAATGTTGATTCCCAATAAAACAGTATAAGACTTCGGTTGAGATTCATACAGGACTGCTTTCTCGCGGGACCTAACGTATCACTAAGCAAACCATTAGTAGTGTGGTGGGTATTTTTTATGTCCCTACCGTACTACCAAATCGTAGTGCGATAATAGTATGGTAACCATGAGTAAAACATTTTTATATTATAATGAAAATATATGTTAACTTAAAAAGAAGTAGCATCCGTGCTTCCATTTCGACGTCATCTTGTACACTGAGCTTCTGAGCTAGGTGCGGCGATAACTGCCTGCAGTTAATGCCGACTGCATGCAGTTGGTTTCGTCTGCATGGAGTTGATTATACTGACTTTTTTTTATGAACAACGGTTTATACTTTGCTCTGTAGTCTGATGGCAGCTCTCTTGTAAATGCATTATAGTTTATCTTGAGCATAATTAGCCCCGGTTATAAACTAACTAGGACAGAGTGGAAACATTGCTATTACCCGTTCTTCACTTGGCCACTTAATAATTTAAATATTAAGAGCGTGCTCTGGACTACGAATGTTTTAAGCCGATGTTTGAGATTGCTGAGGCGGAACCACATAAGTGAAGAATTTATAATAAAAACGTTCTCGCGACTCGTCTTGACTGTGATTCATCTTGTGATATCATAATTCTTCATCAGTTTTTTTTTCTAAGAAAACAAAATATGTTTTGTAATAACATTATTATTATCTAACCTAGAAGTTTAGTATTTTGTGTTATTTTTGGTTTAAGAACCTGTTGGTTAGACATACTTTTTTGTTGTACTTTTCTTTAATAATCATTATGTCAGTTAAGTTACAATCGTTTGTGTTTGGTAGGAGAATTTTATATCACACGGGGTTACGTTTGTCATTTACCTGTCGTAGAATAGTAATACCATAATATGGTATGACTATAGCGTCAGAGCCTCTCGTGGTACCGGAGCATCGAGTATATAACCAGAAATAGAGACGAAATGTCATTTAATTTGTTAGAAAACTATTCTGCCAAATCATTACGGTGACAACTGCGCTCCGATTGGCTAGCCCGAATTTGAAACAATTGACGGGTGTCATCAATTGTTTCACTTCAAAACGACCAGTTTAACTAGAGCTTTGCTGTGATGGATTTCAAAATTACATATTTAATATTTAATTACCGATGAAATGTGACATACAGGTCATTTGTTGGCGCTGTATTATTTCAGCTTTCTAATTTGTGATTTCAGCGCAAACGAGAGTTGATATTTAAAAGTGATATAAGGCCCATTGAGTGATGAGTCGCCAGGGGTGGATGGCCTTTATTTAGTCTCGGTTATATAATCGATGTTTCGGAGAAACGATGATAGTTGAGTGGAGAGCGCGAGATAATTACTATCAGCATCAATACAAACCGAAGTGTGCAAAATTGGAGATGAAATCATAGTTCGAACAACTTGTGGAGCAAAATTTATATTTTGAGATGAGGTATACTTCGTTTTTTTAGGATTTGGAAAAACGTAAACAATTCTTTGTTTAGGTTGTTTTTACAGTGAACAAAATTTACAATAAAGGAAAACATTTATTTTATTAAAAGTTTCTGTTTAAAGCTTGGAAGCTCTGTTTCTTAGTTTTTATAGTCTTTGATATAGATTAAGTATGTAAAGGTAGAAATTTTTCATTTAATTGTTAATTTATAATAGTGAGTACTACGTGTAAAAAACGTAATAGTTACATAAAGCTAGTAAATACGTTTGAGAATTTTGTTTCACTGTAATAATTAAAGTGTTTTGCTTACAAAATAACCTGAAAAAAAAATTATAAGATAAAATACCGTTAATTAGATTTTAAATATGACGAATAATGTTACAATAATATAACATTACATTATTATAATTAAAATGTATCTGTATAACAGGTGAATTTCACAGTTTTCATAGTATTGGAATACCTTCCCTACAGTAGCGTAGTCTTTGATGTTCGGCGACACTGCCGCCAGTATACGCAAGCTGTCATGCGCAGATACGCAAGGGTTGTCACAAATAAAAAATCTGATGATTAATATAACGTAATCATTGACAATTATAAATAAGTAATAAAGATTTACATGTGTTGCACTGCCAAATGTTTACGTGACACTTGATATGTTTTCAATTTTATATAATTTAAAATTTAACTACATTCGTCGGTGTTTTGTAGAAATGGCAAAAGCGTCATTTCGAAAAGTTTTAACGATTGGTTTTAAATATTTACGTCCTGTTTTAATTTGGGTTTTATTTAAATTTAAGTTTTTAAATTGAATTTGAAATTTGTAACTCGTGAAAAAATAGTTTATAACCTCTGAAAAATTCTTCGAAACGGCGCTGTGGCCTTTTCTACAATACACCGATGTATAATAAATTCGCATTGGGATGGCCATTTTAATAAATGGGGTAAACATGAGCTTGGCCGTGATTTAAATTCTAGCCAATAGGCGCCAGACGAACTAATTCTATTCTGTTGCTTTTAAGCGTTTGTATGGGGTGTTTGTGTCATATAGTGTAATGGATCTATTAAACATATGTACATTTCAAAAGCATTAGAAGATAATGTAGGAAAAAGAAAAGAAAGGTATGGGGCAGTTTCATATGCTATATGAAAGTTTGTATGAAACGTTCAGATTGATACTATCACATGCCAACAAAATGTTTCCCCCGCCTTTCTTTCCTCACCCCTCCCTCTACCCGCACAAAGCGCGTCACACAGTGCAACTGAAATTCTGTCGTAATTACACGCGTGCAAAAAAGTGACTCACAGGTGCTTCTATTTTCTCAATATTCCTCGGCGAACTGCGTTTTCGGCTGTCGTCGGATTTTATTCAGTTGCTCTTTGCCTTTGGTACAGACCCATTGACTTACAAATAAATGGACGACGGGTCTAATACAAAAACCACGAAAAAAATGTCCCAAGTCAACCTATTTAAACGTAGTGACATGTAAAGGAATATGAAAAGGCTAAAACGTTGAATTTAAATTGTAATGTCATCGCAGTACTGTCTAATTTTGCTTGCTTCGCTGTCAGTCGAACAAACGAAGACTAAAGCGTGAATGACGCTCTGTATACGATTTTAACGCCCTATAAGTTCGGACACTTTTTAGCGCGGACCCGACGCCCATATAATTGTAAGTCAATGTACAGACCGGACGCTTTCAATCGACTTGGAAGTATATAGAGTTGCTATTGCGTATTTTATTTATTATACAATGGGAGGAAAGCCGCTAAAGTCAGAGACACGACATATAATTTACAGCGTGTACTTGTAAATAGGGAAATAGTTTTACAGCTCTATATAGTTCACACGGAAGTCAATTAAAACAAAGTGCTTTGTTCTAAATTCAAATTATTGTCCATTGTAAATCTAATAAGGCATGGAAATTAATGTGCGTTCGGAAATCCGATGATTGCCGAGGGACACTGAGAGAATAGCTGCACTTGCATGTTTGTCTGGCGTCACCCCAACACGTAGGTATTGATGCGCCAAACAGGTGGGAGTTGCACTACTTATCTTAATATTATACTATGTTCAAAACATTAATAGTTGTTCCAAAAAGGAAATACTTACCACTGTTATACAAAAAAATGTGAAAGAAATGTTTTTTGTCTGCTCTGAGCGTAAACGCTATGTTTTATTGTTAGACTGTGCTTTAAGGTCACCGTATGTATATGTTTTTATTTCTTGTAATAAAATATGTGAACAGACTGAATGACTTTTTTTTAAAAGCATATCCCAGTGTGCATAATAATGCTAGGTGGAATGTTGTAAATATATTTATTTATTTATTTATTTATTTATTTTTGGCATAGCTACAGAATACAAACTGTGAAGACGCTTAAAGTTAACATGCATTATAATAGGAGTAAATTTGTATTCCTATGCCAGCCACGCACGGCATTTGCAAAATAAATAACTACTTACAAATTAACAGGTTATTAAACATAATATAAAAAAATAAATTTGCACTTAAAAATAATAGCAAAAAATCATGTTACACGTATATAAAAACATGAGATTCTTAAATATCCAACATATTCAGCTTCTCCTTACAAATATTTAAATAAGTATAGAGACTATGGGAGAATAAGTCCAAATCTTTAGAAAAGTTGTTATGAGCTCTAAACATGCGAAATATAGGATCATTATAATGAGACATTGTTAGTGGTACATGGCAAAGAAAAAGTTATTTGGGTACGTTTACTGCCAATCTTAAACAAGGCGTGGCTTAAGATCTCACTTGAGTCCATTTCAAAGCTGATAATTTTAAACAGTGTGGAATAGTCCAGTATCACATTGTCGTAATAGGTGTTTTTTCGTTTTAAAAATACCTAATAGTAACTGTGGTATGCAGTCATATCACTTCCGTCCACTTGAGTTCATTTAAGTGTTAAGTACCTATTGAATAGGTTTTCTTGTAAAATTTCGAGGTATGTTTTTTCTATCGTGAACATTTTTATGAATCGTGTTTCCACCTGTATGTCCTCAATTTGACTATTTTTTTTCTAAGTGATTGATTCAACACTGACTGTTATGCGGAATCAAAGCCATTGAGGTTGTAGGCCATCTTAGGTATATTCACTACATAATCGTGATCCAGGACAAAAAATAATTAGGTATATTCACTTCGTCATATTTATCGGCAACCCAAATTGAAAATTTGAGAACCCTTGTCTACTAGCTCACGAACTTATGGCCTCATTATTTTGATATAATACATCTGTATTATATTACTCTGCACTAAATAAATGAAGAAATCAACTGAATGAGTCTCAGACATAAGTTTTTTTACTTACTTCGTTCCGTCTTTTGGAAAACTAAGACTCTTCTCTTTATCCCGTTTAATATGATGATAAACAGCCGTACCAGCACAATTCAAATATCAAAAGCCGTTTTAGCCTTATTGCCGTTCAGTCAATGTGATCGTCAGTGTCTGGGGTGTGGCGCGGTATCTAAGGCGGAAGGCGGAGAGTGTCCATTCTTATTACTTTTTGTTCTCTGACTCGGGTGAAACAATCAGGTGATCCGGAGCACGAATGGAATAAAACCGATTGGGAATATATTCATAACGTAGCATGTGCCTTCCCAGTGTGAAGCTTCGTACGCCCATCAGGGGGTAGCATTGGGAATAGAATAAGAATAAGACACTACGCTCTCTATTCTCTCTCTGCCCAATATGTGACATGTGCTTGTTCAAGCCACAATGTCCTGTTAAGACCGATGCCAATGTTTCATACTGTAGCTATCAGGGCTTTTGAATACTAAAAACCCTTGCTCTGTAGCTAACACTTCTCGGGAGACTTGTGTGCTCTCGTTCAGCCGAGTGAGCTTTGCCAGACTGTATGCTATCCAAATAAAGGGTTCGAGTCCCTAGCACCAGCCTTTGCCAGTTCATCTACCTACGTGGTTAAATATTTCGTAATCTTTGAGGTACTATTAATTTTATTGTATGTCTGGGAAAGTGTACTACTGCATCTGAGTACTTATTGGTGATCCGACCACAGAGGATCACACGGGTTGGTCTAAAAATGATTCCAAGTTTTTAACAAATATTTAAATAGACGGTAAAAACGACAAAAAAGTGTTTTCTGAGATATAGCATATGGCATTTTTTCATTTGGCCGTATGGGTGATCTAGTTAATGGATCATAACGTTTATAGTGTTAACAAATTTTTCATTACTGTGTAAGGATTTTTACAAATTTCAACATAATCCCTCATGATTTTCGTATCGTTTGGAGCAACTTTAAAAAAGATCACTCAGTCCAAATAGACACTCAATTATCGCTGTGTCTGAAAACAGCAAAGTATGTTTCCAGTTTGACTTGCAATCAAAAAGTATGTAATTACAACAAATTATCTCGTTGAATGTTGTAAATAACATGACTTAAATCGATTGGAATATCGATAATAATATGAAAAGATATCAAAGGAATATCCTGTAGGGTTCCGTTAACAAGACCACTGTGTTTTTTTTAATAATGATTTTTTTTAGAATTTACAACAGAACTGAATATTTTACCAATATTACACAGTTTTTATTAACTACCCCTACCCTA